ACATGGCCACCATCGTATCCTGTTTTATTCCTGAATAGTCCACCAAAACTGGGGAAAGTAATTGTCTCACACCTGCTGGAAACGAGTTCACGTAGGAGAGCGTATCTATGGAGGAGCGTGCAGCTTGATCCAAATCTCTAAAATCACTTTGAGCGATAGGGATTTTTTTAGTAAGTGTGCGGGGTGCTCTGGGATTCAAACATGTAAAGTCCTTGTCCAGGTCGGAAGTCGAAGCTGGAAACATCCGATCATGAATAAGATACAATTGCCATTGGAGGACTTTAGGTAAATCTTGAACCGAAGTAGAGATATTCTCATTAAAAGTGTTGACGCAGTTCTGACCACAGTTGACCAAGGCAACGATAACTTTGGAGCCCGTTGAGGAGAGGGAGAGCCAGATGAACCTAGTGTCCATGGTAGTAGAGGTCAGCGGGACCATGCATGGCTTAAGCTGGTGCAATAACCCAACTTTATCGGCGTACGTCGGAGGGAACAGAAACAATACCCTCATGTAGTAGAAGTCTAGTGTCCATAACAGGGTATATGCCTTGAGGGTCAGGCTCTGTAAGATCAGGGACTAAAGGAATAAGCGGCGGTTTGTCAACGGCAATATGAGTAGTACTGGATGAAAGGGCCACAGCCGTGGGATCCGTAGAATCCATGGATAGCTCTGGTATGGTTACAAGTAAGGCCAGAGCCATAAGAGCCTCTTGAGTAAGATTTGTGACCAATCCGGCAGACCTCGACTCTGTGGTCTTGTCTGGAATGGCATTTGCCAGCTGTGACTGAGTCAGCTCTGTGGGTGTCAGCAGTGCAACAGACTGTGTGGCCGTAGCCATAGGATTATTGCCATGGTGAGTACAGATACCAGATGGAGAGCCGTGGATATCGACAGTAGATTCAGGGATGGCTAGTGCACAAGCAATAGAGCATTGGATATCACACATTTTTGAAAAACTACATTCTTCAAGGTCAATAAGAACAGAACCAAAAGACACATTCAAATCCTCTTTAAGAGAGGTGCCTAAGTCAATATCAGGAGCAGATGATGGCGTTGGCAATGGAGAGATTTTAGCAGACTTGGGCTTTTTAACCGGCTCAGAAGATGAAGACATTTTGCTTTTCATAGCTTTTACATGAGCCTCATTCATAGAATTCCAGTCCAATTCAGATAAACCTTGACATAGGAGACAAAGTCAATTGAAGGTATAGGGAGGGTCCGGTGAACACGAGAGGCAAAGAGAATCAGGATCCTTGTCTGAGCGGAATTTTTTACAGCTCATGCATTTTTGACACAAGCATAAGCTAACACCTTTGAGGCACAAAAACAGCGGGAAAATATTACCAAGTCATTAACTCATTAAGGCCGGGAGACACATATGTGCGACAAATTAATTAGCTCCTCACAGCGAGTGACGCTATGTTTGGCAATAGAAAGCACCTCTTATTTAGTGAGAGATGCACATGTGTGTCAGCAGAAAGCACCTCTTATTCAGCAAGAGACGCACATGTGTGTCAGCAGAAAGCACCTCTTATTCAGCGAGAGACGCACGTGTGTCAGCAGAAAGCACCTCTTATTCACCGAGAGACGCACATGTACGTCTTACTTTTTAGATTCGGACTGTACCTATTATTTCAACCAATTTAGTAGTACTGAGCAAAGATTAGCTTTTCTTACGAGAGATGCTACCTTTAGTGTTAATCAGAAGAAGTATTTAAAGTGTTTTGATAGCAATTGCTAATCATTATCATAGGCTTATCCAGCGTTTGGTAAATGAACATGTCGGCAGAAAGGGGATTATGAGATGTTTTTACAGAGGTAAGTGTCTGGTACTCTTAATTGGGAGTGGATACTAAAATACTTGTTATGCACATTGATTGAATTAAACGTAATGGTTTAGAGGTTACTGAAGAATATATTTTCTTTAACTACTTAAAAAATACGAAACTGGGTACGAACTTTCAAGGACATACAAAAAGTTCAAACACAACAGAATAGTTTGAATTTACTTTTTAGGTAAACACAAATACAAAATCTCAAGAATAAAAAAAAAATTCAAACACAATAGAATAGAACATAAGCTCGAATAGATTAGGCATGAATGAAGTTACCAATTTAAAACTTAAAGGATTGTAACTATTTCTTTTTCATAATGTAAAGTTGATAATGTTACCTAATCGAATATAAAGTGATAACTAACGGCTTTGCATCGACACATACTATACTGAATATCATTGAAAACGCACTACTTATAAAAGTTCAGATTATTAAAGCATGTGTAAGGAATTGCTATTTTTTGAGTGGATAATAACAGATGGACGACTGAAAAAAAACAACAACACAGAAAAGACGCTCATTCATTGAAATGTTCCACAGTCAGAAAGGATCAAACACACGTGGGGTCAAATCGAAAAGTCAACATCGCGTGTGACCGCCATTTGCATTGACACATGCAATTCAACGTCTCCTCATTGAGTCAATAATAATGGAGCCCTGTAGCGTGTAGACGGCGTCGCATGGAGTCAGCGCTGATGACCCCCACGTCAACCTTGAACTAGTGCAGCAGTCCTGGCAGTCGGCAGTCTTCAATCACTGATATGGACAAAATCAATATGGCGATCCTGATGGAGCGTCGTAACACGTTGTTGCCAAGGTCATTGAAGGTCACTGGTGCTGCCTGACTACTGATGTCGTCTATGAAGCCTAACGATGGTGGAGTGGCCAAGTCCAAGTTGTCGAGCAATATCCCTGCTGCTGGTGCCAACCTGAATCATGCCTAGTGCACGTTCTCTTTCGTAAGGTGTTAACCTTGGCATCTCTGTCCTCGTTTCATAATCGTTAGTAAAGCAATGAGAATCGGTTCTCATACACCTGCTTTTAATGTCACAGTCAGTATGATTTCAGAATGAAATTCATGCTTTTTTCATGGCGTGGCTGCATGTTGATGCATTTTGGAATTAAGAGTCATACTGTGGACAGGAATTTGTTTCTAAAGCATTTTTCAACTGGACATGCCCTTCGACTTCATGTTTGTGATATTCATTGATCATTGTCATGCTGAAATCCATCTTGATGAAACTATGGACAATTTTAGACTGGTGCGTTTTCAATGCTGTTCAGTATATATGTACAGTGTTATTACAGCATTGAAATCTTTTTCTACGTTTGTTACAAAACAGAGTTGGTAATTCAAAATTCTTAGACATAGATAGAAGTAATGTCATAAATTATTACATGTAAACCATATAAAGTATTTCAAGCATTTTTTTTCAAGCTGTTGAAAGTTTCATAGTGATATTTCATATGTCTATGCATTATTTACATGAGCATTGTGTAATAAACTTTTGTTTTTCATCTCTGTAATTATCTGATCCGGTGTAATTATCCCGTGTATCAATGAACTCAGTAATGGTTGGATTTCATTCGTTATTGTTTTACTTATTGAAAAACACTAACAAATGTGTGTTCGATCTCTGAGAAGAAATAAACTCGCCGAAGTGTCTATCTATTGCTATTTGTCTTATGTGTATATTTCCTATATCGTTACGATTATGTATGTTTACAATACACAAACTGTTACAAGAAATCTGGAGGTGATACAGCCAAAACCCAGCACATGGATTTGTCAACGATATAGTCAATAATCAATCTCCATCCAAACTGTTGAGTGACCAAACATGCTCTCCAGAAATTTAGGCCACGCCCCATCACCTGTCCCTTCCTCTGTGACAGGTATCGCATGATTCGATTGGGTTGAGATACCAAACGTTCTATTCTAACTTGATCACGTCCCGTCACATGATTCTATGTTTCATGTCTAGACAAGGAATATGCATTATTCAATATGTATGTATGATATCTTATGTTTGCAGCATTAAATCCAGATGAAACAAAGTGACAAATTATGAATTTGCTCTATGTTATTCACAGACTCGCCTAGTAGTACTTTCCTTGAAATATTCAGTATATATTAGCCATGTACATCCAGGTAAATTGCCTCCAATTAATTTTTTTAAAAACTTTTATCTCAGGGATAGTCTGTCACACATTACCATGTGAAGAGGAAATGGTTGTCACAACCCAGAGGGAATGTTTACGCCTATAATTATTGCATGACTGTGAAGGGCTTTTATTTATGATGATTTTCGATAACTTGTACAAGGTCAATAAATGACTTGTCCACTGGTTTTCCAAGAGAAACTTAGCTGGATGACAGTAAAATACATAGCATGGTTTTGCAAAGAGGTGCAGTATGGTGGTATTCTAAATGAGAACACAGACTCTCAGGAAGCAGACCCAAGTTCTGGGTGGAATTCACCAACCTTGCTAAAAGTAACCATTATCATAGCTTACATCGTCACCAAGTCTGTGGTGTTTTGAGATTGATTCCTACAGGTGCACTTATCCACCTATATGTGTAAACAGCCACAAACCAGCACAAGATACCGCAGGGCAGGAAGTGGTTATATATTTCCGTCATCATTCTTTTACATGGAAGACATACTATGCATATCTACTATTCTATTTCATCCTTGAAGTACAAGAATAGTTCATCAGAACTATTATCAGTTTATATTCACTGTTCTCTGTGTCATATATAGGGGTATTAGAACAGATTTACTGCATTGACTCTTTTGCTGGTCTCAAATTTTGCCCACAACGCTGAATGCATGGTGTAATTAACATAAGGCCATCAACAGGTCACATCATTTACACACTCCCTATTGTCTGGCAGTCTTATATTTGCAAATTTTGAAAGCGGATATATAGTTTAATAGTATCAGTATCATTTGTAGTTGGAGAAAATGTATGCCCAATGCAGTACAGCAGAGATATAGAGTGCCTGAAAGTCACAACCTGTAGCTATCAGTGCCAAATTGAACATGATAAACATGCCCTCAAATACTAATAAAAGGAAAACGAGAGCATTCTGCATGAGATCTGTTCTTATAACCAGAAAGAAACAAAATAAGGATTCAACATCAATGGCAAAACTCACGAGAACGAGTGAGGTTGAGAATGGCTCCAGCAGCATTGTGTTGGACGTGAACATGAGCAGATTTCAGGAGGGACAGGAGAGCTTTGATGCCTTGGTCCATGTTTAACTGCTGCTGGCTACAATCTGTGTAAAACAACAAGACAGATGATAACTTGGAAACTGGTCACAAAAGACAAAAAAGAAGAAACCATATCATACATTTTCATTTATAATTCCATACACTTAAAACCAGTTGAGTGATGAACAAACCAGAGTCAGTAGCCATGTTTTATTACCGGAACCCATGTAGAGAGTTGTCTCCCTTAGACTAGTGGGAGAGATACCGCTACCAGAAATAATGCTTAATACAGGTACCACTACAGATGGGGCTCAACAATCTCAAACCAGCCCCACATACAAAAATAATCACAACATGTCAGACCATATGCTATATTTATATCAAACTTCAGTCTAGGTTTGATGAGTAATGTTGTCAGGTGTGTAAGTTATTTTATGCATATTTATTTGATAAGGACAGTGGATAAGTATTAAACTGTTACAAGGTCATCAGTTAGCCTTGTCTAATATGTTCTCTATGTTCAAACATTAACAAATATTGCATGAAAATATGTTATATATCTCTAATAATAATAATAATAATAATTTACAGAGACAGTCCAACACCTTGTCAGTGGATGCTCTTCCTTGGCACAAACAGCATATCTTAAACGACATGATGGCATGGCCCGTTGCTTCTAAAGTCGTCTTCGCCATGCCTGTGGCTTTGACTCCGAGGTCCATCCAAGGTACGACCCTGAACATGTCCAGGGCATCATGGAAAATGATGCTTTTAAACTTCTTTGGAATTGTCCCATATACAGCCTCAGAAGAATTCCTGCCAACAAACCTGATCTTGTCCTTTTGATAAAGCTAATGAATTCATTTATATCATTGAATTTTCTGTCCCTTTTGACAGCAACGTGATTGGCAAGATTCAGGAAAAGCATGATAAATATGCGGACCTCGCCTTTGAAATGTCTCGCTTGCATCCCAAGTACACTGTCATCAGGCTCCCCAATGTTCTCGGTGCCCTTGGTTTGGTACCTCCTGATCTCTTGGCGCAGATCAGGAGAGCGCCCGGGTTCTCCAGCTGGAACACAGCCCTTCTGACACTCTGGGTAATGCAGAAGGCTGCAGTGTTGGGGAGTCTACATATTCTCCGGAAAGTTCTTGGTGGGTTCGACTAGGCAGCGTTTCCTGGGAGAAGTCCCATTCGCTGTCTGGGCTGCGTGTAGAGGGGGCAAGGGTCCTGAGCTGATGATGAGCCTTACCAGCCTGACTGAGCCAGGATCACCCAAACCCTCTCTGCTGCATACTTTTTTTAATCTGTAAAACATAATAATAACTCCTCAGTTGCAGATCTTTCCGAAAATCCTGTTTATATTTTGTTTCATTCTATTTATGATGAAATATCTGATTTACCTTAGAAAAATGGAGGACAATTAAACAAACAACTGAATCTTTCCCCCAAAATGAAATTAATTTATTAAATGATATTATTTCTATGAAACTTTCCGCGGACTGTTCGTTACATGAAGTTAATGGTTGTGTCTATGCTGCCACTCGAACCTTGGAGGAACTTCACACAGTTTCCAAAGAAAACACATCCAATACTAAGAACAATACATGAAAGAAAAAACGGTTTCAAGTAAAATGAACAGAAAATACATTTCCAGGATAGAGCTTTGCCTGAAGTTAAGATCATCAGGGAGTCCAATGTCAAAACAACAAAAGGCAAATTGGAGAAAATTAAAACTGAAATACAAAACAACGAAAGGAAAGATATTTCTCCAAATTGTCGATTCCCTTAAGGCCAAACTAAAGGTTTGGACTGAAAGAAAGAAAAAATGGGAAAAGAAAAATAAATTCATGAAACAGAATAAACTTTTTAGAAATAATGAGAAACACTTCTACAGGCAACTGAAAACAAATGGTGATGGTGAGCATGATAAACGGCCTCCCATGGATGCCAATGAAAGGTTCTGGAAACAATTGTGGTCTGTACCCGGCAACTGTAACCTGGAGGCACCATGGGTCAGTGATTACGAACATGCAATGCATGAGAAAATAACTGGGACGTTTGTCTCTTACATCTCACCAGATTGCTTGAAAAGTGTCATCAAAAAGTCCCAAGTCTAATACAGCTCCAGGGCCTGATTGCATTCGAAACCGGTATTGGAAACTGTTCCCCTGTGTCCAAACACCATTACTTCACTGTTTCCATTCTCTTGTGGACACAGGTGATGTTCCTCAATGGTTTTTCAAAGGTCGCACAATACTCCTTCCCGGAAAAGGAGACTTGACTGATCCAAAACACTTCCGCCCTATCACATGTTTGAATACTCAGTATAAAATATTCACAGGGTGTTTGACAAATCTTGTGTCATCTTACTGCTCTTCTAATGACATAATTTACAGAGAGCAGAAGGGAGCGAGAAAGGGATGTTGGGGGTGCAAGGATCAATTTCTTGTACAGAAAATGATTTTGGAAGAGGCTAAAACATATCACCGCAACCTCTCCATGTGCTGGATTGACTACAAAAAGGCATACGACTCTGTCCCTCATGAATGGATTCTGAAGTCTCTTCGTTGTACTGACCTCCCTGAGCGACTGACTTGATTTACTCAAGTCTTTAATGAGTTGCTGGTCGACTCAACTTGAGATGTACTCGCAAGGGCAGGTGCAGACTTAGGAATCTAATCCAATCAGAAGGGAAATATTCCAGGGAGACTCCTTCAGTTTTTTGCTTTTTTGTTTGTCTTTAAATTCTTTGAGCTTTCTGCTCAATAAAGAGGAGGGTTACCATCCCGGACCTCCTCAGCACAGATCCCAAACACTGCTTACTCATCTCCTTTACATGGATGACATCGAGCTCCTTGCCAAAGGAGAAAAACATTTGAAAGAACAGGTTCTCCTTGTTGAGTCCTTTTCTAACGATATTGGCATGACATTTGGACTCGACAAATGTAATACTCTTCACTTGAAACGTGGCAAGGTAGTTAATGATGGATCGGTCAGGTTACAGGGGGGAGGAGTTATTGAGTATCTTGTGGAAGATCAGGCCTACACCTATCTTGAAATGCAAGTTCGAGACAAGCTCCAGAATGCCCAGATTCAAGAAAAACTTCGGGCCGAATATCAATCTCGCTTAAAGAAAAAGTGGAGTTCAGAGCTAATTGCTCGAAACAAGGTCAAAGCCACCAATACTTTTGCTGTGCCAGTCCTCTCCTTTTCCTTTGGAGTAGTTGATTGGACAAAACAAGACATCCAGAGTCTTGACTGCCTGACCAGAGGGATCATGTCTTATAGCAGAGCCCTCCTCATGATAGAATTTTATTGTGTACTTTTGCACATATTTATTTATCGGATGATCGTCTGGTGATGCATGTCAAGACTCATGATGAAAGCAAGGAATTTCACAGCTATTTTAAGCCTGCCAAGGTTGTTGGACACAATGTGAAATTTGAGGTTGATTTTGTTGATTGCAATGTACTGCAATGGTACAGCGATGGGAGTAAACCTGGTGAAGTCCTTCACCAAGTCTTCCCCGAGTCGGTCATTTGTGGAGAAGCTTTCTAAGAAACCATTGCATCATGTGTACATGCAGTGTGTTTAACAGAATAGCAATCCAACCAACTCCTTCACCTGGATGAAGTCGGCTGGTCTTAAATGTGAACTGAGGGCTTCCTGTTTGCTGCTCAGGACCAGTCATTTCCCACTTGTAATCGCCAAAATGTGATTCTTAAAGAAAATATCAATATGAAATGCAGACTTTGCAATGAATTCTCAGAGATGGTCCAACACCTTGTCAGTGGATGTCCTTCCTTGGTGCAAACATCATATCTGAAAAGACATGATGGCATGGCTCGTTGCTTTTACTACCGTCTCCGCCATGCCTGTGGATTTGACTCCAAGGTCCATCCATTGTATGACCCTGAACATGTCCAACTTCTTTGGAATAGTCCCATATACAGCCTCAGAAGAATTCCAGCCAACAAACCTTATCTTGTCCTTTTTGATAAAGGCATTGAATTTATTTATATCATTGAATTTTCTGTCCCTAGAGCGTGCTGAGGTTGGTAATTTTTGACTTACGTTAAGTCATCATTGTACAGAACATACACAAGCTGTATCAGAATCCATTTTTCTTAATAAAATAGGTGCGGTGGGCATGGTGCCAACAGGACTAAGCAGCAGCGCTGCTACAACTAGGGATACTTGGCATCTGCTTTTACAGCGGCAGCCCAAACCTTCCTGCCTGCTGGCTCCGTGGGAGGAAGTACCAAAGTTTCCCATGCTTTACCCATCTGCTTTGCCACGGCGGAGGGCCGCAATTAGCTAATATACTCATTCAGTCCCGTCGGCGCCATCCACACCGAGCTCTTTGTCATCCACACATCTGTCTTGTCTAGTCTGTTTACTGAGGAATACCTTTACAAGGTCATTCTCATCTATCTCCTACCATATCATCATATCCATTGAAAGGTCTGCATATAACATAGGTCTAGAACATTGAGAAACACAGGAAAATCACAAATTGCTGGGAGCTTTCACTGTTGCGTGTCGCTAGCGTGCAGCGACAGTATATATACTATTCACACTTTGCTAAGGATCAAATCATGGATTCAACAGAAAACTATTATGTGGGGTCAAATTTGATTTAAATACCTAAGCTTATTGTAAGCATGGATCCTAGGTTTCAGTATGTCAATGCATCTTGTGGAACCCATACCTGCTACTGACAGGTGTTGTGTACTTGCCAATGACTCGTTCCATGATTTGCAAAATGGTTGATTGGTGCCATGAAAACCATTTCTATGGTTACTCATGTATCAAGTGCATAAGGTTAGCTTAAAGTGATTATTTGCCTAAGGAGGGTTACCATATTACTATTTATCCAGTTTTAAATGGATACAATTTCAAATTATAAATCTATGTTTAAGTAAAGTTGTGAAGTTTTGTGATCCTTAGCAAAGTGTGAGTAGTATATATTATATATTCACCATGTCTGCTCAGAGTCGGTCATTTGTGGAGAAGCTTTCTGAGAAGTCATTGCATCGTCTGTACATGCAGTGTGTGGAAC